GTGAAGTAACACCCGACAAATTAGCTTGTGCTTTTAGTAGAATGAGATAACAGCCGAAAAGTTGACATGAGAAGTTGGCAGGTGAAGTAACTCTCGAAAAGTTGTCATGAGAAGTTGGCAGGTGAAGTAACTCTCGACAAGTTGGCATGAGAAGTTGGCAGGTGAAGTAACTCTCGACAAGTTGGCATGAGAAGTTGGCAGGTGAAGTAACTCTCAAAAAGTTGACATGAGAAGTTGGCAGGTGAAGTAACTCTCAAAAAGTTGACATGAGAAGTTGGCAGGTGAAGTAACTCTCAAAAAGTTGACATGAGAAGTTGGCAGGTGAAGTAACTCTCAAAAAGTTGACATGAGAAGTTGGCAGGTGAAGTAACTCTCAAAAAGTTGACATGAGAAGTTGGCAGGTGAAGTAACTCTCAAAAAGTTGACATGAGAAGTTGGCAGGTGAAGTTGGCAGCCGCTTTTAGAAGAAGAACCCTTCGCAATGCTTCCGGGAAAAATGCGCCGCCCACTCCATGGCCTGCGACCCTCGGCTTGGAGGGCAAGTCGCCTCTTTGAGCCATGAGAGTGCCGTGGGCCGTGCCATCAGTTGTGGCTGGTCTTGGTCTACCATGCCCCCTGGAAAAAAGGGGTGTCATTCGTCGTAGCTCAATTTCAGGCATGTCAAGCCTCTCGGGCCTTTGGAGTTCGTTGCTTCTTGACGTAGGTATGTGATGTCGGAGCTGGATGGGTACGAGCCGCTGCGGTGCATGAAAGGCTGGGGGTCAGCTTGCAAAATCCAGTTCACACCAGTTCCGTCTTGTTTCACGTTTTGTTGGTCTTGAAAGCAGCCAAACCAGCTGCGCTGCTTCTCGCATGGCCATTTGGCAAGGGGTCGCAACAAATCTTGTGAAGCAAGAGGCAACCCGGGTGATTTGCACGGTGCATGCCAAGCATGTTGCATAGATCCATTGATAAGGGACTTCTTCTGAAAGGCACCGTGAGTGCCGGAGGAGTGGTCCCTTAACTGCTGCAGGGCAGTGCCTCGTTCGAATAAGGGCGATTTCTATTTCTCGGCTTTCAGGACAGGAAGCATTCTAGGTTATTACTTGACGAGCTGCAACATGGTATTTGTGAAATGGCATTTGTGAATGCAGCCCCCGCCAGACAAAAAAGGTGGTGTTCCTTTCGGTTTCCTGTATGGTTTCCGTTTTTGGTGCCTTTAACTAAGGTGAGAAGGGCACCCTTGAAACCGGGTTCCTTGTATCTCGCTAAAAAATAACAATACTCACCACTGCGCCATAAAGCCATAAAGAGATGTCACACACACACACACGCACACACACACACACATATATATATATATACATATATATATATACATTACATGCACAAATGTGTGTTTGTGTCTGTGTGTCTGTGTGTCTGTGTGTTTGTGTGTCTGTGTGTCTGTGTGTCTGTGTGTCTGTGTGTCTGTGGGTGTCTGTGGGTGTCTGTGTGTGTGTCTGTGTGTCTGTGTGTCTGTGTGTCTGTGTGTCTGTGTGTCTGTGTGTCTGTGTGTGTCTGTGTGTGTCTGTGTGTGTCTGTGTGTCTGTGTCTCTGTGTCTCTGGGTCTCTGGGTCTCTGTGTTTGTGTCCATGTCTGTGTCTGTCTCTGTGTCTCTGCGTCTCTGTGTCTCTGTGTCTGTGTCCATGTCCATGTCTGTGTCGGTGTCGGTGTCTGTGTCGGTGTCCGTGTCTGTGTCTAAGTCTGCGTCTGCGTCTGCGTCTGTGTCGTCTGTGTCTGTGTCGTCTGTGTCTGTTTGTTTCTGGGAGCCCAAAACGGTTTTCGTTTTTGGTTTCCAAAAAGTCACCCAGAGGGGCCGTGAAACCGCTCTCCGATTGAAAGGCCTGTACTGCCGCGGCAACGAGTCCCGTTTGAGCTGCAGCCGCGAAACCGCCCTCGCGAACTTCGAGGCCGCCCAAGACGCTTTTGGCTGAAAAGGCAACCGTTTTGTGTGTGTGTGTGTTTTGTTTTCTTGGTGGTTCAATAGGCAGGGACTGAGAATTGGATTGACCCCAAGAAAAACCATCCCCATTTGGTTTCCTTTAGGGGAATCCCTAGTTTGAAGCCCTAAGAGTCTCTGGAGCAACAACGCAAGGACACAGGGTATTTGTTTTTCAGATTCCCAGGACGAGTGGCCACGGTTGTTTGCGGCGGAGCGGACCTTAGCCTCCTTTCTTTAGGCGAAAGCCGGTGGAGGAAGTGCGGAAGGCCGACCTGGTAGTCGAATGGGCCTGTTTTGGACATGGGGGAGGTGTGAAGGAGCATCAATGGAAGATCAACCGATTTCGTGGTAGACGTCAAGTTTTACCTGCTAATGCCTAGTCACGGCATGAGCCAACCAATGAGAACCCAAAATTGGACTTGGACCCTTGAAAGCAACAAAGGAACACACCAGCGGGACACCAAGCATTTTGAAGGTCCATACCCCTCCAGATAGTCTAGGTGGTTGATGCTCTCCATTGAGACCGCCAAAAAAGGTGTGTGAAGGAAATGGCTTGAAATTGGCGCGATTTGGCAAGCCATGCTGAAGGTATCTTGCTGCAATGAAAGGGAGGTACCCCCCTCCGACACATTTGTGGAAGCTAACAGGGATCGGAAGTTTGCTTCCTTTTGGGATCTCTCCAGTCCACTTATATGATTATTGGATGGGGGTATATGTCAAAACTGAGGATCCGTGCAAAACAAATTGGGCTGGTTCCATTCTCAAACCGTTCCCCGAAAACACATGGACATCGGAACCCCATATTAATGACCCTTGGTAAATTAAAGGGGGGCGTCCCTTTTTTTGGTGGGGATTCAACGCTTCTGGAGGGAACCTCCTCTAAGCGGGTGACGCTCCGAGCTCCTTGAGGCTCGATGGAACCTGCTTGCTCCACTGCTCCTCTTCGTGGTGTGGCTCGCGTGCGTGCTTGCCCTTCAGTTGCAACGGAGTTGTCCATGCCCCGTGGCCACTTCCGATTTAGAAAACGGTTTGGACGTGTTTTGGATTTCACACATGCACTTCCCCTGTTCGTCCTTTTTTCGAAAATTTGGTCGTACGCTTCTAATTGTTTGATTCGCCACATCCAAACGGCTTGCTAGATTAGCATCAAGCCTGAGGCGAGCATCATCCTGCGCATCGCCATTCTGGTCGCCTACCTTCCATTTACGTACATGCTCTACGGCTTGCTGAGGCACGTGGATACCCCCAAGCTCTCCCTCTCCCAGAGCCTGGCGGTGGTGGTGCATCTTGGATTGAAGGGATGGCCACTATTCCAGGTATGGCATTCTGCTATCCCCTTTTCGCGAGAAGGACTCAATTGGTTGTCCCATGTTCCCTTGTTGTGCGAAAGGCTGGAAACGTGGATTTGGGGACCTGTTCCCCTTGGAACGGGGGAGCTTGCCGCGGCCGCGGCCGACCGAGGCACATCTCGATGCCGTCCATGTTCCTCCAGTGCCTGCTGGAGATTGTGTGGCAAAGCTGGGGCGCAACACTTAGCTAAGCTGGCTGGTGTTTGGGGACGAGCAAATGCGCAGTGGCTATCTATGTTCCAAGAAAGGGAGCCAACGAATAGGGATGCCATCGGTAGATCTTCCCAATGACTACTTGGTGTCTCGATGCCTACACTTTCCCTTTCTTCCAAATCAACCAAGACAAGGACACCCTTCTCCACTGTGTTCAAGACGCCCCAAAAATGGCGTTTACCCTTTTGGTTTCCCTTGAAACCAACCCCAACAAGGAACAAGGGAGGAAGAACAAACACACACCCACACGCTGCGTTGTTCGACTTTTCTCCCTGTGGGGACTGGGGCAGAAGCGTTTGCCCCGGAGCTTATGAGGTGAGGGAGAGCATTTGCACCAAAGGGTGCAGAGTATTCTGCGGCCGCTGGTGCAGAGGAGCTCCACCTTGCCACTTGGCAGCAGCGGAAGCGGGGGGTGGCGTATCTCTCTTAACCTTTTAATCTAAGGCTTTAAGGGCTTATCCTTCTGCTGGGCTTGTCTAGAGAAAACATCTTATCAAATGAAAGAGGAAGGGTGGCCATCATCCCTATCAGTTCTTCGTCTTGTTTGAAGCAAGGGGAGCCAACCTCAACGGATGAGGATAGAACATATCTTTTTGAAGATGGAAATGCTGTTGAAGAGACGGCAACCAAATGCTGGGGCAACATCATTTTTGGTTTATGTACATCTCTTTCCCTCCCATACAGTATGTTTTGTTTGGTATATGTGTCTAGTTTGTCAGTCGTTTGATCACATATATATGTATATACATAACAATGTTGTATCTATTAGATGTGTTCTTGTCTTATGTTCTATCGTTTGTTTACGCTATGTCAAGTTTGGTTGTTAATATGTGAACCATTTGTTGCGGTTTAATGTTTTCATTTCTTACATCCTTTTATGTGTTTCTTTTCTGTTATTTAATGCTATTCTTTTAGCTGTTTGTATTATTTTTGCGCCTCTTTCGTGCTCCTCTCCCCTCCGTTTTCTTGATGGAGACTTTATGGCACAAATAGGTAGAGGGAGAGAAAGAGAGAGAGAGAGAGAGAGAGAGAGACGTGGAAAAGGAGAGAGAGATGCATCTTTTCTTTCCCTGACTGCCAAGCCTTTCTTTGGCTAATGATTGAATGGCTGAAAAGGAATAGAAAAATGCCATGGAATGCTGAATCGTTTCGTCCCGGCATAGAAGATCCGGAAGTTGGTAGGCAACGATTTAAATTCAAAGGACACAGGTCATGCCTATCTTGGAGACATATGGAATTAGAGATGCCTTGCCATAGCTCTCTTCGTTTGTTTCTCTTCGGCTAGAATTGGCGCGTGAGAAGAAGGACAATCCGCGCTCTCTCTCTCCCTCACTCTCTTTCTCACTCTCTCTTTCTCTCTCTCTCTCTCTCTCTCTCTCTCTCTCTCTCTCTGTGCACACACACACATATATATATATACACATGTGTGTAGGTCTCTCTCTCACTCTCTCTCTCTCTCTCTCTCCCTCTCTGTCTCTGCAAGGGGACGTGGAAAGAGGATTGACAACCAGCTGTGGTACCCTTTTAACTTCTGAAGATTCGTTTCAACTTGGAAGACGAACTCCGCAGCCCACGTCTCCGAGTTTCGAGCCATAGGTTGGACCTGGCGCTGCTCTGGGGGGGCGCGGTGGTGATCCGGCTGCGCTCGCTGGCGGCGCGGGAGAGGTTTGCCGCCAGAACGCGGGAGCGGGCGTGGCCCGAGGACGGACGGGCGGGGTGGGGTGGATGGGACTTGGGGTGGGGAATCTTGGCTGCCTACGGGTGCGGAGCCAGGGACATGTGCTCTCAGATTTCCGCCCGCAATTTTCCCAACCAGGCGGGCCTCTAAGAAACATACGCAATATTTATGGCAGACGGATTTAAGATGTTTGCCATTGTGGCAGATGGAAGGCTCCGCGGACACGCTTCTACGCAAGCGCAGAGCGCCGCTTGCACGTGACAGTTTCGCTCAACCAAAGTGCAGTCTCGCACCCCAGGTTTCAGCGCATTCGTCTTTGCTTGCTCCTGCTGTGCCTTTGCAGTGCTCAGGTCCAGGCCTGCAAAGCAAGCTTGTCAACAGTGTGTGTTTCTCTGCATTTGTGCAGGGGTTTGTATTTTGCAATGCCCGCGTTCCTAGCATCACCAGCACATTAGCTCCCAAGCCAGACCAAGAAGGCGGAGCAATTTTGCGAGGGTCCTACGCGCCTTCCCCTTTTCACACGGGGTGGGCGGATTCCGAGAACTCGAGTGTCGTAGAACGGCAGGTGCGTCGCCCAAACAGACTTTGAATGCGCAACAAATGAAGCGATGTCCTCAGGCTTCATGCGGGTAGCCTGCGGCACGACCTTGTTTTTATTTGTTCTTTTTTGTTGTGCTATACCTCCGGAGGTCGCGGAAACAGTGAACTCGAGTGAAGTTTGGGCTGTAACTCATTCCCAGTGGGCCGTTCTTATCCTAGTACCTGACGTCCAAAATGCGGTCACTGGAGTACTTTGGTGCATTTTGCTTGGATGTTAGGACTGTAACTTTTTGCCAACTAATGGGTTTTCCATTAAGCCACCAAAAGTTACACTTTTAGCAGGGGAGCAGAAAGCAACCGAGAGTACATGCTGGTGGGAAAGAGCATGGAAAGCCAAGTTTGCTTTTTGCCAGGGAGGGCTGGCATTGTGATTTTGTTTGTTCCCCAACAGCTGAAAGCTTTGTGGTTTTTGGCCAGATAGGCTTCGGGGTGCCGGGGCGGCCTGAGGTAAGGTTCGACGAGGGTTCCACCAGGGTTCCACTAGGTTCCGGGCCACCAGGTTCTGCGAGGTAAGGTTTTATGAGGGTTGTGCAAGGTCAGTTCCACAGAGTTCCACAAGGATTCCACACAAAATCGCAAGGCTACACAATGTTTCGCGAGGGTTCCACAAATGTTCTGCAAGGTTCCGTGGTTTGCCCTGGAGTTATGACATTTTTGCAGCCACACACTGAGGTGTCTTGAAATATTTATTTTTTCAAAAAATCATCGATTTCATGATCCTCAACACTATCCTTTTTTTATCCTCATCGTTTGTCATTGTCCTCCAGATTATCATTTTTTTATCCTCATCGTTTTTCATTATCCTCAAGCCTGCCTGCCTGCCTGCTCGCTCGCTCGCTTTGCTTTGCTTTGCTTTGCTTCGCTCGCTTGCTTTGCTTTGCTTTGATTTGCTGGGCTTGGCTTTGCTTGGCTTGCTTTGGTGGGTTTCCTTCAGCTTCAGCCATGAAACAATTTAGTTGGAGCCATTTTGCGCAAGAAATGTCTGGCGGTGGCTGTGTTGAAGCTCGTTTCAAATCGTGTTCCAGGCTGGAGAACAGGGGAGGAAAATAGGGAGGATGATTTTTGGAAGGTTGATGTCAGGCAGGATAATTTGTTGGATGATTTTTTGAAGATGGATTCCGGTCAGGATGATTTTTCGAAGATTTTTCGAAGATTTTTCGAAGATTTTTCGATGATTTGTCGATGATTTTTTGAAAAAAACAGGAGGGTTTTGCAACTTTTTGCTTTCCTGACCACTGTGAAGGGGGGTTGGTCCAGAAAATTTTGGGTTGGGGATGATTTTTCGAAGATTTTTCGATGATTTTTCGATGATTTTTCGATGATTTTTCGATGATTTTTTGAAAAAAAAACAGGAGGGTTTTGCAACTTTTTGCTTTCCTGACCACTGTGAAGGGGGGTTGGTCCAGAAAATGTGGATTGGGGATGATTTTTCGAAGATTTTTCGATGATTTTTCGATGATTTTTCGATGATTTTTTGAAAAAAACAGGAGGGTTTTGCAACTTTTTGCTTTCCTGACCACTGTGAAGGGGGGTTGGTCCAGAAAATGTGGGTTGGGGATGATTTTTCGATGATTTTTTGAAAAAAAACAGGAGGGTTTTGCAACTTTTTGCTTTCCTGACCACTGTGAAGGGGGTTTGGTCCAGAAAATGTGGGTTGGGGATGATTTTCGAAGATTGTTCGATGATTTTTCGATGATTTTTTGAAAAAAACATGAGGGTTTTTCAACTTTTTGCTTTTCCTGTCAGTCTCAGGAAGAGGAAGAGTGAAAAGGGAAAGAAGGAACAGGGCAGGGCAAAGAGAATTGGAGAGGACAAGGAAGAGAAAAAAGAGAAAGGAGATGGAACATGGAAACAAGAAGAGGGAAATGGAAAAGGGTAAGGAACGGGAAGGAACGGGAAGGAAAGGAAAATGGAAACGCAGAGAATAGAAGCGATGTGGAGGAGGGATGAAGGAGGAGGGAGAGGATGATTTTTCGATGATGTTTTTTGCAGAGGATGATTGTAGGATGATTTTTGGATAGGTTTGAGGATAACCAAATCGATAAGTTTTTGAAAAAAATAAATATTTCAACATTTCCAGTCTCTGGCTGGCTAAAAAAATCATAACCCTGGAGTTGGAGGGAAGTAATGTGTCGTGCGCCCGCCGTCTGAAAAGCGAGGGCGCAGAAGATCGCTTTGCTCATGGGCGGAACACTAAGCAAAACCGAAATCAATAGTTTTCAGCAGACTTTCACTGCTTTGACTTGCTCACTTGCTCAGACAACGCGGCCCGAAATGTTGGCTTTGTGGCAACTCAGATCACGTTGCTGCGGAACTCACTGTGCGGCAGAGTAAATGCTTGGCATTGCTGAGCATTACTTGGTGGGCTTTGGGATCCAAGGGTTCCACGAGGCTGCAAGGGCAATGGGGGTAAGGTTCCAAAACGCTCCACGAGGCTTCCACCAGGTTCTGCAGAAGCTAGGGGGCAGCCCTGAGGAAAGGTTCCAACAAAGTTTCACGCTGAGTTCCACAAAGGTTTCACGAAGACAGTTTGCGAGGTTCACCGGGCGCAGGTCGGGGCCCGATTGGGCCCCGATTGTGGGCTCAGTTGGGCCCCGTCAATGTTCCAAGCTGGCATTGCCTAGTTTTGCTAGATACAGTTGTAAGGCCGCATCCTCAGGAAAACCGGCGTTGAGCTATAATATGGGTGGCGCCATCGGGCCCCGGTCGGGGCCGATTGCACCGTCGGGCCCCGCTCAGGCCGTCGGGCCCCGATCGGGCCCCGATTGCGCTGTCCTTTGCTTTGCTTAAAAAGTTACGGCATCCTCGGGTCCGGGCGGGTTTCGCGAGGATTCTGGGAGGGTGTGGTGCTGTTGGGGATGTCGCCTGAGCTTATTTGGGTGGCACGCTCAGAGCTTTCACATCAACGTGGCCAGTCTCTGGCTCCAGTTCCATGCGCTGACTGTTTGCTGCCATCGTTTACCATCCGTTGTATGTGTTGTGTATCTTCCACAACAGGCTGGCAAGACCTCACTTGAACAATAGACGTGGAATGTGGTGATTCTCAGACACATCTGTATGTTTTGATGACCATTTGGAAGCAACTGGCTTGTCCAAACCTGCAGCTTCGGTTTCTTGTCTCTTTGTGGTGGGCGGAGGGAAACGCTAGACTGTCCAATCCGATTGAAGCGTGGGTGTCAAAATAGGGGGACCCTCAAAATTTGTGGCATTTCTTTTTGTCTTCCTTTTAAAGCTGCAAAAGGCACTTTCAAAAAGCACGCGCACAGCCACACACACACACACACCCATCACACACACATGGAACCATGTGGTTTTTCAGCTTTTTTCGCAGGAGGACGCAGACGCTCAGTCCATGTGCCGCATTTGTTTTGCAGGCACTGAGGCTGGACGACCCTCGGCTTAGGTTGGCACCCTTGTTTTGTGTGCGGGTTTTGATCGTGTGTGTGTGGGGTGGGTGTGTGAGTGTGAGTGTGAGTGTGAGTGTGAGTGTGAGTGTGAGTGTGAGTGTGTGTGTGTGTGTGTGTGTGTGTGTGTGTGTGTGTGTGTGTGTGTGTGTGTGTGTGTGTGTGTGTGTGTGTGTGTGTGTGTGTGTGTGTGTGTGTGTGTGTGTGTGTGTGTGTGTGTGTGTGTGTGTGTGTGTGTGTGTGTGTGTGTGTGTGTGTGTGTGTGTGTGTGTGTGTGTGTGTGTGTGTGTGTGTGTGTGTGTGTGTGTGTGTGTGTGTGTGTGTGTGTGTGTTTGGCTGCCTGCGTGCCTGCGTGCGTGCTTGCGAGTGCGTGCGTGCGTGCGTGCGTGTGTGTGTGTGTGTGGGCGGGCGTTCGTGCGTGCGTGCGTCCGTGCGTGGGTGCATGTTTTTGTGCGCAAGTGCACTCGCGAGTTCGCGCTCGCGCTCGCGTGCTTGCGTGTCGGCGGGCACGTGCGAGTGCGTGTGTGCAAGCGCGTGCGAGCGGTGCGTTCGCGCGTGCGCGCGCGCGCCGGTCTGTGTGTGTGTGAATGTGTGTGTGCGTGTGTGGATGTGTGTGTGTGAGAGTGTGAGTGTGTGTGTGTGTGTGTGTGTGTGTGTGGGTGGGTGGGTGGGTGGGTGGGTGGGTGGGTGGGTGGGTGGGTGGGTGAGTGTGTTTGTGTGTGTGCATGACCCATGTATATAAGGATATGCAACAACATTTGTTTCAATACCTTTGCGCATATGGAACACCAAAGGGTATCCCTTGAGGAGGAAAAAAAAGCGGAGCTTTGCTTCTGTGGCGGGCGGGCTTGCTTTTTGTTCGGGGCTGGAGCCAAGGACTGATCTCCCCCTGCTTGTGCCACTTGGCTGGCGGGAAAAATCAGAAGGCTCTGTTTAGGGTGGTCTCATGGTCTGCTTAAGTTGGTTTGGGGGGTTATATAGGGTTGGTTCAAGGGGTTGAGGGCTGGTTCAGGGTTGGGCGGTTTTAGGGTCGGTTCAGGGTTGGCTTAGGGTGGCCCAGGGTTGGTTTTAGGTTGGTCGTGTTGGCTTAGGCTCGGTTTAGGGCCTGTTTTGGGTGGCTAAAATGGCTAGTTTTGGGTGGGTTTGGGGTTGGGTGAGGGTTGGGTGCGGGTTTGGCTTTGGGTTGGTTAGAGATGGCTTTTGAATGACGGCCGCAACAATGTTGGCTGTCGGCCGAACGTCGGCCGAATTTCGCATCTGCTTTCGCCGAGTTTCACATCTGTTTCGGCCGCATTTCAGACATGTGTCGGCACATTCTCGTCGGCCGCATTTCACGTCAGTGTCAGCCGATAGTGTCGGCTGAATTTCACATCAACCCGGCAAGCCCAGTTGGAGGGCACCAGCTTTGCTTCGCGCGTCGCGGTTCCAACAAGGCCCCGCTTGTCTTGTCTCAATTCAACCTAGTTCTCTTCGAAATTTTGGCCATGTTCCTATCACTTTGCCAGCTTTCCGCTCACCTGGCACCAGCTTCGCATGCCATCTGCAGGCCGTTCGTGCATCACCGGAGCACCGAGGTTCCGGGTCTATGCGATTTGTACATAGGGACTGCCTCAACACGTGGCGGGCATCAAGCTTGAATCCTCAGTCCTCGCGGCTCGTCTGCGCGCTAGGCCGGCTTTTGTGGCCTCCTTGAGCCATTCCCCACGCTTTCAAGCAGGTTACGACCAAGAAAGGGCGTGTGCTTTTTTGGCCTTTTCGGGAGTTCTTGGGTGGGGCGCGTGTTGCAAGAGGCATTGGGGGCCATAGCAGTGGCGCACGCGGTGGTTTCCTGGTTGATTCGGGCGGTGTGCATCCGAGGAGTCAATGTGATCAGTGCCACTTCGACTACCCTGTGCAGAGGGCGATGTGGCTTTACTGCGTTCAGCTGGCCAGCTGCCAAAGCTTGTGCACCGAACGAGGGTTCCAATGCATCTCATGAATGGGCATCCTTGGGACGTGCAAAGGGGCAAGGGCTCTGGCAACTCCCCTATTTCCAGTAAGTTTGCTTGATCCCGTATTGAGCCTGGCGCGTTGTGGTTGGCTTCGAAAAAGGGGAAAAGGCTTACCTTTGAAGTGGCGCAAAAAAGCAATTTCATCATCCGGTTTTTCTTTCCCAATCTCGGTGCAAGATTGAGGGCCCCGCAGAAACAGGTGGGTGTGTCTCTTTTTTTTTTTTGGCTACCCCCAAAATGGTACCGCTTTTCCTTGTTTAAAGCCGCAAATAAAAGTTGTACCGGGGCGCAAAGAACAAACGAGCGTCCAGGTATGCCAGCATCCTGCGTTCATCGCTGGTGCTGCATGTGGTCACTCTGCTGGTGATGACCGGTGCTCCAGTCAGCACCAAGTCGGCCAGGCGAAAGAGAAAGTGTGGCCCTCTTGGAAGTTTCGCTCTGAGTTTCTTTGACCTCCCAGCTTTGGGACCTACGGCGCGAGCTCTCTCTCTCTCTCTATCTCTCTCGCGAGAGAGAGAGAGAGAGAGAGAGAGAGATAGAGAAGGAGAGAGATAGAGAAGAGGACATTTTCCCTGAGTGCTGGCCCATTTTGGTTGCTTTCCTTTGGTCAGTTTCATCTAAAGGAAAAGAAGAGGGATCGATGAGGTTCCAGATTCCTTCCCCCCCCCCCCGATGTGGCACGCAAGCGCCTGTGGCAGCCTCTGCTGCATTGCCAATGACGGCCTAAGCCCAACGAGTTGGGGTTGAAGGGACCCCGGACCTTTGTCCATGAATCGAATTGAACGGGGTTGTTTACGGGAAGCATGGAATACGAAAAAGCCACGGGCTGATTTGGAGGAGAATGGAACAGGGAGATTTTAGGGTGATTTTGGGATGTACCTTTTGGGAACGCTGCTAAACATGCCCCCTACTACAAATACCCGCGTTTTTCATGGTATTTTTGGGGAAAACCTGGCTTTCCATTGGTAAATACCTCCTTTCATAGGGTCGACATGGTACCCTGCAAAAAGAGGGTATTTGGAGTAGGGGCTATGGAGTGAGGTGTTGTGCTGATCTGCGGCTGGGCGTGCTACTACATCGACTGGTGCCCTGGCTTCGGCCGTGCGGGCGCAGGATTCGCGGACCAGGTACCCTGGAGGGAGGCCTTCGTGAAACGACCGTACAGGGCGAATTACCATTCCCCCATTCCCCCGGAATTCTTCAAGCCATGAATGTTCAGGAGCCTCCCAAATGAATGATACAATCCCAACCATCTCCCTCCTCCACAAACGGTTTCCCTGTGCCATGGGCTCCTTCAAAGATACATGTTGCAACCATTTGACACATGTTGCTTTTTCAACACCAAAATCAAGAAAGGGACACCACCATTTACAAGTTGCAATGTTCACTGCATCCGGATCCCTGAGGGAAGCTCATGGCCCATTCAGCCATCGCTCGCTCAGGTTCCACAACGGAGACAGGGACCCACAGGCGCCGAGCGAGCGAGCGAGCGAGCGAGCGAGCGAGCGAGCGAGCGAGCCAAGGCGAAGCCCTGAGCTGAGACAGCCCGCTGTCTCCTTTTCGGCGACTCGTTGTTTCCAATGGGTGAAAGGGCTGCAGCTTCTTGTTTTTTTTTAAGGCTTTTTTTGTGACTTTGCCGGTTTGTGAACAACTCTGGCGAATTGCAGCCTGGTTTGTTGAATTGCCGTTCTACGGTTCCATGAACGGGAGGGCGAAACGTTCCGGCAGGCAAAGAGCGTTTTGTCCCAGGGTTTTGCTGGCCCATGTGGCCCAAGACTGGGTAACATAGCTATGGCTCACGGGCTTCTGCAACCTTTGCCTTCACTTGCCCAGGTTGTGTCCTGATCATTTTGCAACATCTTTTTGGGCACAACTAGAGCAGCACATGAATTTCCACTTTTCATGAAGGATCAGACGCTAATTTGATGCACAGCAGGGGCAGCCGCAATTTCTCCCCCTGTTTTGAGGGGTCCCTATATTTGCCTTGCTGGTGGCTTGCACATCACCTTCTCGCGACCATTCAAGGTGAGCATCATGTTTCGCAGGGGAATGCATGGCTTTGACTCAAGATGAGGGGAAGACCAAAAATGCGCAAAGTGGTTATTGTGCTTCTAGTGCTTCTCGTTTTAGCTTCCAGAGCCCACCAACAAAACACACCCATGGGTGACCTTATAGGTGTGTCTTTTTTTCGGAGGACCCCGCAACTGGCTTCGGCTTTTCTCAAAAGAAACACTCAACAACGGGGATATTATGGAATCCGTAAGCGATGGCAGGGTCCAAGGATGGGGTTCCCTTAAAAAGCCGAAGGAACCCTAGGGCTCTCAACTACCCACCCTGGTACCCAAGGCCCCCTTAGGGATTCCAGATAAGGGTCTGGGTCACAAAATGTACTGACATGGCTCCTTGGTAAATGGACATAAATGGAACCAACGACTGAAACCCGTGCAATGCCAGCTGTTCAATGTTGAGCCACACCCATGTGGCTGTGGGTGAAAACCAATGGTACCATTTTGGGGGTTGCACCACCCATTTTAGAACCTATTTTGGTGGGGATCGGGATGTTCACCGATCCGATTTGGATTTTGAGCCACACCCGCAAGGAAACTTCAGGGAACCCAAAGGAACCTCAACTTCTCAACTTGTCAACTTCTCAGCTGCCCACCCTTTGGTTCCAGCCAGTCTACCCCCCTTTAGGCTTGGGGATTCCATCCTATCAGCGGCCCCCCTTTTCTGCTTCAAGCGAACTGCCTCGGCAGTTCCTGCGGGAAGCGGTGGTGGAGCAGCTCGTGGCGAACATCAGCGGGCTGCCCACGGAGAGTCGGGAGGCCTGCCCGGTCAGTCGGCAACCATGGTGGTTTTGGTGGTTTGGTGGTTTGGTGGTTTGGTGGTTTGGTGGTGTTCTGGGGTGGTTTGGCATTTTGCCCCCCTAGAAAGGGGCTTTCTACTCTTTCGAAGGCAGCACCGTTGGAATGGCAAGCCAAAAGTTTGGGCTTGTTTCTTTGGCAGCCCACCCGCTCAGTGGTTTTGAAACAAGGCAAAAAAGAAAGGCGCTGCTTTTGGATTTCTCTTTAGAAACACAGCCAACTGGGTAATCCTTGAGACTTCAGAGAGGGAGAGAGAGAGATCATTTTTCGGAAGCCGCTAGTTCAGTCATAGCCCAAAAAATGACGCCTTTGACTTCCTGAAACATGCATGTATACCCGTACTGCACATACGTACATGCCAGGCCGTACCGCACCATGCCAATGCCATGCGCATGCCATGCATGCCATGCGTGCCACATACCACCGTACATGCCGCACATACCTATGGACATACCATACCTACATACCGTACCACACGCGCCATGCCATACCATATCATACCATACTAACCATATCATGCCATACATACGTACATGCATACATGCATGCATGCATGTACATCATCCCTGGCCCTGCTTGAGCCAACCGTGAAGCAACACAGACTACCGGTCCAAGCCCCCTTCAAGCTCCTAACCAGCCAGAACCCTTGAAGCAACACCAACCCGAACCAACCCCAAGCCTTTCCTTAAAGATCGGCCACCCCGGGGGCAGGAAATCGTGGAGTTTGCGAAGACAATCAACGACCTGCAGTTTGGCGGCGTCCAGACGGCAGCTCGGCTAGGCCAAGCCCCAAGCCGATATGCACCGCCTTGGGGCTTAGCACTTTCTGTGCGCTGGATTGACACCCGGGACAGGCTCCTCTGCCCCCCCCCCAAACCCCCCAAACCCCCCCCCCCCCCCGCAAACGCTGGCCCTTTCAAGGCAAGGTTCTGCGATACCAAACAAAAGGGGGGCACATCAAGGCTTAGGCCCGTGGAGGCAGCCTGAACTGAAATTCAAACCGGGCTAAGCCGGGGGTTCTGTACATTGTACCAGCCGGATTTCCTATCACCATGTCTCTTGGCTGGGGCTGCCAGGCTGCCTACCATCGGGCGCTCGCAACCAAAATGAGAAACCTATTTTTTCAGAACCTCGCATGCAACACAACATCCTTAGAGATGTTGTTTTCAAAGGGCGCTCCCAACCCTGCAACAAATTGTGCTTTCCAGAGCCCAGAGGGTTGTGAATACTGGCCTTGGGAGGGGCCTACCTGCCCACTGCCCGCCTCTGGGCGTGATTTCGCGCATCCGAAAGGAACAACCCATTCAACGGGTCAATCACCCAAGTTTTTGCAAGCCGCCGCAACAAAAACAAAGAAGCCATGCAAAGAGCCGGGCTGCGGGGGAGGAGGGGGGGAGGGAGGGAGGGAAGGAGGTTGGAGTCGCACGCCGATGTGGGGAATTCACACGTTTGCTGGTTTTCAGGTGCACCTGCTGCAGGGCCTGATGCTCATCGGCTTTAGCGGCTGCAACTTCTTGGGCTTCTTCATCTCCCGGCAGCTTGGCATGTCTCGGACTGTGGGGTGACCAGGTTTCAGCTGACACCGGCCAAGCCGAACTGAAATGGCCGTGGGTCAAAACCAATGGTACCATTTTGGGGTAGGTGCACCACCAATTTTCGGGGATTGGGATGTTCACTGGGGGTACGGGATTTTGACCCATGGCCAAATGGGGGAACGATTGCCTGAAGTGCCAGAGGCGTTGTGAACAAGTGATCCAGATTGAAATCGCAAGGATGGGTTTTGGTGTGGAGGCTAGATACTACTTGTACAGGGGGCATGTACTGCCTTACGAAGTGCCAGAGGCCTTGTGACCAAGTGATCCGTACAAGGGGTATGTGCTGCCTTACTCGCATTTTTTGTGGTACATGAGCATCCATACCTCCGAAGCCATACCTGGAAAATCCTTTTGAAGTGAGATGCGAATGCAATGGTCCGCGAGTTTCGGAAAATAGCGCTGTCTTCGTGTCGTGCCTCCGCAGCGCCTTTGGCTCAAAGCAGCCGTCCGGAGGCTGCAGGCCTGGCTGAGCTTCGGTGAAACTGGGGTGGGTTACCCTAAAACTGGGGGTACCCCGAAACTGGGGGGTGGGTTGAATGGCGAATCCAACTTCGGCGGAGGCCCTTTTAGCTCCCATTGGTTTGGATTGGGAATAGGATTCGAGGTTCTCGCAGGGTCCGCTGCAAACCACCTGCCACCGTTTTCCAGCTGTTTTTCTGGCTTGGTGCGTTTGGGTTCCCCACAAGCCGTCAACCGGCTCGGCTTCCGGCAACCGGTGTGCACTTCGCTTGTGCCAGGCGCCGGTGTTTGGAGCGGCCCGGTTCCCCAGGGGGCTTGGGGAGAGAAGCCGCGGGCGCAGTGCAGCCCAGTTTCTGACAAGCAACATGACCAAACTTGTACTTACGTTATTAACCTTCTGCCTTTTTTTGGGTCTGCATCATTTTACCTTCAACCAACAGTGCAACAAAAGTCTGGTCACGACAACTGGCTCAGACAATGCGACGAACGACAATGTCGAGCATTCCAAACGCAGCCTTTAGTGCACGCCGCATCGAGGCGCGTGTGAACTTCCGTTTGGTGCCCTTGAAACCCATGCAGTTAAACTAGGGTGACAGAAGGAGTGTGTTTACAAAAGCTGCAACGGTTTCGGGGGGTTGTCACAGTCAGAACATGGGGTTGAACCCCCCTTTAACCCACCACTTAGGGGATGACTTTGATCATGTTAAAACAAGGCCAGACTATTGTGAGGATCTCCCGCCATTGCCGTGTGTGAGCAGTCATCTTGCCAGGTTCCGCTTCTCCCTTCTTGGTGAGAAACTTCCCATGTCCGGATTAATCAACCCCTGGTTGATGAAATGGGGGGGGGGTTGCTCATGTAGTGGGGGTTCATCACTGTTGGAGGGCACTCCCTGCTGAGAGGACAGGTTTATCATTGCGGGGCGACTTTGCTCATCTGTTAACGCTTGAGTTTGCTTCTGGCTGGTTCCCAAATAAAGGAACCTCCTGGGCCCACCCTTTGCGGTGGGATGTTTGGAGGTGTGGAGGCTGCATACCACTCACAAGAAACATAGAGGGCAAAGTAGATACGAATAGTTCTTACTCCCATACTTTTCCGCTACTTCCTTTTTTTCTCCCTAGTTTACCCAGGTTTACTCATACAATTGTGACTGTACTTGGTATTCGCCTACACCCAAACTCACTGCAACTGTAAGCTATGCTTCGGCCCTTACATGGTTGTTGTTGGGAAACATTCTTCTTCTTTTTTTTTTTAAAAAAAAATAAATAAATAAATAAATAAATAAAATAACAATAAAATATATATATATATATACATTTTTGCTTATGGTGGTTTCGTGGTTGAAACCCGAGCACTTACCTGCTAGAGCCGTAAGTGTTTTGCTTCCAACGTCGACGCGTATGGCATGCGGCGAGGCGATGCCCTTGGCCCCGATGAAGAAGGCGACCCTCAGCGTGCCCGCGGACCTCTCCTCCATGGAGGCGCGTGGAACATTTTCCGGCGGCCTGGGTGGTCGCTGGGCGTCTTGTTTTTTGGGAAAAGCTGGGCCCTCTTTGGGAAGGAGCCGGCGCCTAGGTGTCCTTGTTGGTTGATCTGGTGGACTAGTTGGCGATTCCTGGTTTACCTGGTGGTTTAATCATCTACCAGGGCCATCTGTTTCCCCAAAAAGGACACCTATGAGCCGGCGTTGAGTGTCAAGCCACAGATACTGGCCGTCCTGGTGCCATTCTGTTTAGCCGCCTGGCTCGCAGTTTTCAACGCGCTGGTGATGGTGGGATGATTGGATCTGGGGAAGTTATGGTGACCTCACAAAGGGCATTTGCGACCGTCCGAAGACAACGACACAGTGCTGTAAGGAAACTGCGGAGACGTCTCAGACCCCCCCCCTTTCAGGGGGCACACAGGCTGCTTGCAGTTTGTTTGCACCCGCGGCATATCTCATACCAACACATGGCCCTGGCCAACGTCTGAATGTGTAAAGGCGGTTTTGCATATCTGAAAGCACTCCTGACGCACCTGTTTTCCAAGGGTTTTGCCCCCGAAGCGGGGTTTTTCCTTGGCCAAAACCGGATGTTCCTTGGGGGAGGGTAAGGTCAATGGATTGTTTTATCTTAGATATTTCTGTACGTCAAGGAATCTTGCGTCTCAGGGGCGCGCCTTCTGTCTGCAGCCCGGAAATGGTGAATCCCGTGGCTGATGGTTTGGTGTGTTTGCTTGACAGCTTTGCATCTATTGGGAGTTGCCCTTACTGCCGTCTTGGGGTCATAGCAACCTGCCCAGAACCATGGGGGACCTTCGGATAGGTTCCAGGTTAGTGGAACATTTGTGTGCCTTTTTTTGGGGGGGGACCCTCAAGAGTGTCGTTTTCCTTTTGGCCCCCCCTTAACACCACCCAAATAACAGGGTTAACAAACCTGAAAACAAGACAGGCCCAAATACCGGGCAGTTCGCCTTTTTTTTTTTTTCCTCCGGGTGAGCCTCCCTCGCCAGGGCTCGCTTTCCCCGAGGATGACGAGCGGGGGGGAGGCAGCTCCGAAACCAATTTGGGCTAGATGGGTGTGATGCTGAAACGGCCGAATCTCACAGTTTTGGGTTTGGGGGCAACCAACTCACAAGAACCCTCAGAGTCTTCAATCAACACCAAGATACACGCCAACTGGGGGTCAGGGTTGGGCCTGCTCAAGTAGTCGCCCGGCAAGTACTGCTTAGAAATGCTTTAGAATTGGTTTAGTATGCCTTGTAACTGATTTTGTATTGGTTTAGCTTTTCTGCGGGCTGGCTCGGTAGTCTTGGGATTGGTTTAGTATTGTTTCGGTACTGCGTCGTGGCCCAGTTCTGTTTAGAATTGGTTTAGCATTAATTTAGTATTCCTTCGAACTGGCCGGGGATTTGGTTTCTCGCTGTCCTATTATTATCTTGAAAACTTGTCTGGGCAGCTGTTTGGGTAAAGGACGTCATAATGCTGGCCTAGGATTGGCTAGTATGGGTTTGCCATTGGTCTAGTATTGGTTTAATGTTAGCTAGTATTTCTTCAGTATTAGTTGATACTTTTTGATTTTTTGGTTTAGCATTGCTGTAGAGTTGCCATTGCTTGGGCTCATGTTCTTGCCACACACACACACACACTCAGGACGGGCAGCCCTATTTCTTTGAACCAGGGAAGCCGAACAAAAAACGGGGGTGGTTTAAAGTAAACAAGTAAACCAAGGGGGTCCCCTAAAAAAGACACCCATTTGGAGACAGTTCCATAATATGCTTCAATCAGCAACAGCGATTCACACATGGAAGTCCCAGTGGGTTTCACGTCGGGCTCCCGAACAGAAAGAGGTCCTGCATGTTCTTGAAAAAGACGCACGAACATGGTTAAACACCTCATTTCACATGCAACCATGTCCAATGTATATATGCATATAATCACGTTTGCGCACACTTATGAAGGCATATCTGCAACGTGTATGTGAAATTGTCATGTCATGCAAAGATAGGACACTTTTGTTGAGCAGGTGATGGAGGAGCGGCGGATCTCGCGTATTGCGGACCTCGCCCCTTTGCCTGAGCGAGCGATTGGCTGGGGGATGGGTCCGGACGCTGGTTGTTGGCCTGCTGGGCTTTCCTAGCGTTCATTCCTCAAAGGCATAGGGAAAGATGTGAGGGATGCAGGCAAATCACAAGGTCGCCACATAGTTCAAATCACATATGTTCAAAGCGGTCAAACACATGGTGGTGACACATTGTTCATATTCCGTGGTATTAAGGTGGCAAAGTAGTCATAGGGAAATAGGGGTAGCCCAGCTTGTTTGGTGTCGCGCAGAGGGGTTCATTTGCCACAACCATGTGGTGCGGGTGCAAAAATGTGATTTCAAAAGCGGGAAGGAAGAAGGAGAGGCAGCAGCAGGGGGAGGAGAAGAAGAAGCAGAAGAAGACGAAGCAGAGGAGGAGAAGTGCAAAGAAGAAACACAAGAAGGACAAGAGCATCATACGTTGCATGGGAACAATCAGATCACAACAAGACTCAAGGTAGCCACAGACAGCCGCAAGCTTTGGTCGTACTGAATCTTTTGGCTCGGCTTCCGCGATTGGATGCTAAATGGCGCGTTTTTGTTTTATCCCCAGAAGGAAGCCAAAAGTGGATGGGGAGTTGCTTGATTTTTGCAGACGCCTGTTTAGCACCCAGGTGCCTGGCTATTGCTTGGGGGTTCTTTTTGGGGTCACTTGTCCCCAAGGAGTCAGCCTTTCAATCAGGCTTCTGACCTTTCGATCGCCTTTCCAAATGTTTTTGGCCTAGGCTGAGCTGTGATTTCGATTGCCCTGGGCACGTTAACACAACTCTGGACCGCACCTGGCAGCTGTGCGCAGGCAAATATGCCCATTCTTCAAGGGACCCAGGTTCACTTGGCTCGGTATCAAAGGATTCCTGGCACAGCTTTTGGGGCCGAGCGCTCTTTGGCAGGTTCTCGGGTTCAAGAGTTTGTTGGCACAGCTTTTCGGGCAGAAGCCACCCTTATCGCAGCTTTTTTGGGCCGGCTTCGGCACTTTTAGGGCTCAAGTCACCCTTTGCGCTGAAGCTCGCCATTGGACTCTGGATACGCGTCCTCTGGATTTTCCGGGCTCCCCCAGAAAAGCGCGCTTTAAAGAAGAGAAGGCACTGTGACCCTGGGAAAGCCACGAGCCGAAAAATGAGGTACCTCTCAGTAAAATTGGGTAGCGTGCAATGCCAGGGCCATCGTGCCCTCTCAGTTTTCCCGCTTCTATGTACTTTCACTCAAGCCTTGATTTGCGAGAACTCGCGGCCTTTTGGCGGCCGGAAGCATTTCACCGGAGGTTTCCGGCGGCCTGAGGTCATGCCCCGCGCGGGGATGGAGTTCAAGATCGGCAAAGAGGTCGCCCGCAACGGCGTGGGCGAAACGCTTGTGGTAAGCCACAAAAGAAGGCCCAGGCCGCCCGTGCAAAGCCGCAAAAAGGCCCAGGCCTGCAGTTTCTCCGGCGATTTTTTCTGTTTGCCCCTTATGTCCACCTCATATTTAGAACCCCCCCCCCACCCCCCTAAGGTCGTACGGAGGGGGGCCTGTAATTAGAAGCTTCCGGCGGATCCCGGAGATTCCTTACCTGGCTGTTGGTCAGCGCCTTCGTTCAATACGGCTTTTTGTGGCTGGGTAAAACGCAGGGCCTGGCAGGTTTGGCGCCGGTGAGGGCACGCAGGACAGTTGTTTGTTTGGGAAGCCTTTGGTTCGTGCTCACATCAAAACCCATTTGTCATAGGATTTAGTGCTTCAATGCGTGCCTTGCAAGTTTCGCTTTCAGCACGCACTAGGAGCTGAGCCTTTTTTGGGGTTTCCTGGGCCAACCTGGATTGTGCAATTACGGGGGTTTCTAAATACGTTCTGGGATTTTGGATTGGGCACATATCGCGGGGGTTTCCAAATATGAGGTCAACATTTTTGTCGGCAGGGGGGGCATATATGTTTCCACCTCGCCACTGGTCTGGGAAAACTTGGCACTTGAGTTTGGCGGAAATCGATACAGCCCGTTCAACGGTTGGTAGGTGAGCATGAAGCAAATGTAAATGATGTGTACAGGTCCCAGGCTTTCAACATCGCCAAGAAGGGCTGTTTAGGCCTCTCTTGGGTGGAGTTCAAGGGGTGGGGTGTTTCCGGTAGCTTTGGGTGCCCTGTGCCCTGTGCCCCCGGTGAGGCCGCCACTTCAGCCGTTTGGGGGGGCCAGCGATATCGATTATCAAGGTTGGGCAAGGGAATCCTTTTCCCACCACTTGGGCTGACATTGGAAACGGTTTTGTGGCCAAAGGCTTTGTGTTCAATGGTGGTAGGACCATGTTTGACTCCTGGGTTCGTGGTAGAACGCTCAGAGGACCCGGAAATCCAGTGCCCCACCGCAACCAGGCCAATGGCTCATCAAACACGCTCGAGTGCGTGAGGCGGGGTGGGCCGCCCACACCCAGACGCCATGTGGGTAGGGGTTCCATTTGTTCCCTTCAAACGCAACTCCCAAATGGGTACCCTCAAAAGGCACCCCGGCCTGCCAGCTGGACAAAGGGTGTTTCAGAGACGGAGGGAGAGACAGTCACCAGTTTGAGCAGTATCAGTCGGTCAGCATTTGGAGTCGGTCGAAACGAATCTGAAGAAATGGTGTAACAAGACAAACTGGTTGCGCTGGGTTTTTCGTGGTCACTTATATAGAGCTATTGGGGAAGTGTGTTTTACAGTTTGAGCCCTTGTTGGCGCAGAATTTCCATCGCTGGTTCATTTTGCCCTGAGCTCAAGACCTGGCAACTCCCGACACAGGTTCCCTGTTGGGGTAAGGAAATCTGCAACCCTGCATCCTGCAGCACCATGGGATCCCCAAGCTACATGAAGCACCACATGGTTTTCTCACATGCCCAAAGCGAATGCACCTTTTGACCTTTTAGTTTTACCTCGCCTCTTCTTTCTGGGCCCTTCGGGCAACTGACATGGTTGAGGGGCGCTTTCTGGAGGTGTACCCAATCGGTGGCTGTTTTTTTTTGGTTTCCCTTCAGCCACCCGTGGATCGGTGAGCCTAGGCAGAGCGTGGTGGCGCGGGTGCCGGTGCTGGGATGGCTGCCGCACTACGACTTCAGAAGGGAGCCCTGGCGTGGGAAAAGTCGGACTTCCCCTGGACCGGGGGACGCAGACTCGAGATCTCCAAGATGGGGTTCCATGGACTGAAGGCCGAAGAATGGAATTGACGGAGGGCTTCCCTCGCTTGGATTGGGGTGGTCAGCAACCCTATCGCGGGCCAACAGGTTAATTTCCACCTAGGCCAACTAGCCACGTGAACTCCCTGGACCAACCACGAAACAAACCTCACACCTTTCATTGACGCAAACGCCACCTCACTAGACCTACCTGCCCTTTCTCCAGCAGAAGCAACTCTGAGGCTCACCCCAACCGACCCCATCCACGACCTGCTGCTTTTTATTAACCATCAAACCCACCCTAAACTTGCCCCAAAGCCATCTATTCCACTAGAGAGAACCCAAAAGCCAACCTGCGCTAACTGAAAAACCAAAAACACGCCTAGGCCGACCCCAAACCAACTGAGAGCCAAGCCTTATATCATTCTTAGCCCCAAGCTAATCCTTCACCCTCAACTCCAAGCAACCTTCAATCAACCCTACAATAAAACCAACCCAAGGACGTGACACATATGGAGGCAGCCGGAAAACACACGAACAGCAGGGACAACTCCCAGAAACAGCTCATTGATGCTCATTCTTTGCCGATGCCGGGTTCAGGGCATGACCATTGCCCACTTACAACCCGGCAACCCAGCAAAATGGAGGTGTCCAATCACCGACACCGTCCCCAACAGCGCCCAGCGTCCTTTTCGTTTTTTTTGGCCTCGGACTCGGGCGATTCGAGTCTGATTCCGCTTCCGCTTCCGCCGCTTCGGACGGACGCCGCTCCCAGGACTTCTTCTACGACTTTGTGGGGGGCGCCACGATCGCTTTGATTTGCCTGGCCGGCGGCCCAGACGGTGCTGGGCCCCCGGGAGGCCTAGCAGTTGGACGCGCTTTCGGTTTGTTGTATTCTTTTTTTTTGGGGGGGGGGTGGTCCCAAGAAACGACCCCTTTCAAATGAAAGCAAGCCGGAACCCAAGAGGGGGATTCGCCAAAAGGTTCCTCTGCAACTGCTCGTTTTTGGGGTTCCATGTGCACGGATCTGAGGTGCAGACGCTGGCCCATGCGGCCATCGCCACCACCAAGGTCATCCAAGGAGCCCCGGTCTTGAGCAATCCCATGTTGCTCCCCTGCTGCTTAACATGGAACCCCAAAACCATGGATTTGTGGAGGACGCCCCCTTTTGATGTTTTCATGGACCTTCTTGGGTTCCATGTTGATTTGTGGGGGGGGGGGTGGATGGGTTCAATGTTCTCGATGGGGGAGAGCACCCTTAATTGGCATTCCTCCAGCAATTGGGAAGCACACATTTCGGACGATCATCATTTTGGGCCTCCTGTCCACTTTCATTGTCTGTGCGAGGACTTGGTTCACCCGAGTGCCCCCAACATGCAGCGCCCCAATCTTCCGGAGGATTGCAGGGCCCTTGGCTTTGGGTAGGCCCCCCCCCCAAAAAAAACCACAAAAAACACAACCAAAAAAAGAGCTTTGCTCGTGGCTCCAGCCCTTGATTGTAACCAAGGGACCGGGTTTCCTTCCTTTGGCTCCTCACGTGTTCTGCGGTTCCCCGGTTCGGCGGGCTGAGTTCTTGGCCTTTTCGATGTGCGTTCGACGGCGTTTCTTCAAACGTCGTGGTACAGCTGACTGGCAACACTTTTTGGTTTCAGAACCAGTTTTTCTGGACTTGGGTCTCACTTTTTGGGCTACATACTGGTAAACCACCAAGTTTTCGTGTTGTTTTTTCTTCCCCCCGCGTTGATCTCAAACCCATGGGATCGCAAGGTTGGTTTCGGTTAGGACCGTACTGCGCCTTCGTGCCGCCCTTCGTCTATGCCATGCTGGGGACCTCGCCGCACGCCTCCATCTCCTCAGGCCGGGACCGGGGCCCAAAGTCTCTTCAGGGCATTTTGATAGGTGGCTCAACTTGGTTTAGCTGGGCTGAAAGCAAGACTGTATACACTGAAGTGAAACTCGGCACTGGTTATAGATGGAAGGGGAAACTCCCTTTCTAGCAGTTGGTATAGAATGTCGTGGTTGGAAAACGGCTCTGGTGTCGGAGCACCACCTCAGGTCATGTCGCGGCTGGGCGTGCAGAATTTGCTTGATGGCTTGCTTGCCAACGGCACACTTGCCCAAAGCCAAGGTGTTCATCTTTTGCTCGTAAAGACTCAATTTTGGCCCATGTCTCGTCACGCCCCCACCCAAAGGTTTGACTTTGGGTTGCCGGTAAAAAGGATGGCGTTTGGGAGCCCGGTGCAGTTTGCTGTGACAGTTCCACTTTGGGAAAGTGAGGGGCAGTTGAGGCGGTCCTTTCTTTTGTGTCGCCTTCCTGCCCCCAGGGTCTTTTTGCCAGGCCTTGCGAAATGTGAATGACTTTTTGGAGGGTGGGTACCCGCAGGAGCCACAGTGGCCGCGTGGACATTTTCGGAGTTCAATCCCCTAATGACTTTTGGGTGTGGTTTCTCTTCAAAGTGCTCAGGGCCTGTCGGAGGGTCAAATTTTGAAGTCGCCGCCTTTTTGCAAGCGACGGTGGGCTCCCTCTGCGGTTTCCAGCCAGGTGCCATTGCAGCCATTCTGCTGGCAGCGCCTTGGCCTTGTGCGCCCCAAAAAAGCCCAGGAATGACCAAACCAGGACAGAAGACCAGGGTATTGGGACCTCGTGACTTTGTTTCTTCGTTTTTGATGAAGTGACCCCTGAAAATTGCCGGCTTCTCTGTGGTTTCCTCGCGCCTTATGCTCACATCCAGGCTAAGGAAGGAACTGGCATTCCTTGGCTTACAGGTGCTGGCCCCCCAGTGCGGACTTCCGACGTTTTGTCTTGGGGGGGTGTTTTGCGGAGAGAGTTCGGATCATGTTTGGGAAGATCTGGTTTAGAAGGGCTCGTTCCAGTAAGGTAATGTTGGGAAGATCGCTTTCCGGAATGAGCTTGGAATTTTCTGCCGGTTGATTCCCCAGTCTCTTCTTTTCTTATTTGTAGTTTCTTGTATTTCAGACCATGTCCTGCCCTGAACTTTCTTTTTTTGTTTTGTTATTCAGGAACGCCAGCCTTCTTTTGACAGTAAATATCTGTGTCCACCCCCTGCTCTTATTGAGGCCTTATTTGGAGGAACCCAGGGGAGAAGGGAGCCTTTCGTTACGTGACATGTGACTTCCCCGAAGGGGGGTTGGATGCCATGATGAGTTCAGGACCCTTGACTGCTGAATCGTCGTGTTTCGTTTTGGGGGGCCAAACATGTGGGTTTTCCTTTTGGTTTCCCTCTAAAACAACAAACTTAAAGAGAGCTAAAGGGTACTGCCTGAAACAGACACACCCACACATATGTTGTCCGTGGCGTCGCGCGGGGCTTTTTCTGCTTCCTTTTCTTGTGTTTCCAACCCGAGGACCAGCTCCAGTTCTGGCACGACGAGGAGGAGCGCACCGAGTTGGCGTCCCTACTGGCGCTGATCAGTGGAGGCAGGGGGGACCGTGGGACCGTCCAGCGCCTGCCTGGGTGGTTTGGATTGGTTCGGAGTGGGGCCTCTGGCTCTTGGAAGTGGGAAATCAGCAACCTCAGCGCCAAACCCACTCAAACCTCACCCTTTTTGCGGGAGGCTGATTCAAGGCCCGAGTTTGTCAGCCGACCTTCAGCATGACGCTCACGGCGGCTTTCACTCTGCATGCAGCAGAGTGAGCAAGAGGGGGGGAAGCACGCAAAGATCCATGATGAGCTGAGTAAGGCTTGGCTTCGTGCATTTTTTTGTTTGCAAGTTGAAACTTGTCTCCACGAGATGGTCCTTGCTTCCCCCCCTTTTGCTTGCGCCCTGCGTGCCTGCGTTCCGGAATCACTGAGGTAGCTGGTGGCAGGGTGACTGGGACACCCCGAGCCATAGCGGCTCCAAACCAGTGAACCACCAAACCATCAGCCGCATTCATGAGTAACTTCTGGTATGTGAGGTCATCCCAAAAAGCCCAAGCCACTTGCTTTCTTCAGCTTCTTCCAGGTCCTTTGGGCAAGTTGGGTTTAGAACTCGCGACTGCACAGCTCGCAGCCGGAGGTTGGCTGGTGGCTATGGGCCTCTGCCAAGCCGCTTACGCCGTGCGCTTCTTGTCCCAGTCCTTGATCAGCGGCTTCGTGACCGGGGGCTCGGCGCCTGTGGCGAGGAAGCACGAAACGCGGGTGAGTTGGTGAGTTGGTGGGTTGGCCACTCGGGTGGTTGGTTTGTTCCAGGGCTGGTGAGGAAATTGCTTTAGGTCCCCTTTTGGCTCCGGAAAGATAAGTTTCGGAGCGTGGGTGCTTCCATGGGTTTGGGGGACCCTGCGGGTTCGAACGGCAAGAGCACTGTGCGCTATGCCTCTGATGTTGGCACATGCCGTGTGCGGATTTCGGGGAAGGTTCTTCAAATACATAGCAGCAACTTTCTCGATTTCTTTTGGGCCAATCCGCTCAAAACATAATTGCCAGTGCGCCAGGTGCTGATTCTGGTGGGGCAGATGCGAAATCTGCTTGGCCTGATCAACATGAGGCATGCTATTGGCGCCTTGCCCAGCAAGGCGGAGTGCAGTTTCTCGATCTTGGGGTTGTTCATGTGGCGCCCCTGTGTTTTCCGCAAGCGCGGGTGCGAGCGGCGATTGTTTCCAAGAGGGAGGCAAGCCAGATCTTGGGCCTTTTGAGCAGGGACATAGCCGAGGTGGGTCAGGTGTCAACGGTAAAAATGCGGCGGGGATTGCCTCGCTGAGTCCCTTAGTGGGGCCCCAGGTTCGTGGAACCCGGCACGGAAAGAAAAGCAAACCTATCAACCAGGGGTTGAGGATTCCGGGGTTAAAATTACGAGGGCAAAATGCGAGTCCGCTTTCTTGGCGCAGGTGGCCTTTATACGCCTGCAACCATTGGACCGAAACTGGTCAGTGGGAGGGAACGGACACCCCAACAGGGGGGGGGGGGGGGGCCCCAAAGTGGGTGAGTTTCTGTTGGGGCGGCCGTTCCCTCCCAACCCCTTAAAAACGCGCGCCGAGCCCAAAAAAAAGAAGAGGAACCCACTGGTTGCCGGCCCGAGGCTTCACGAATCAGGTGAGCGCAATCATCGGTGCCTTGCCCGAGATCCACGTGCTGGGCACCATTTGGGGAATTGCCGCTTGGCACAGCGTGGCTCAAACGCTTGGCGGGACCGCAAAAGGCTTTTCTTTTTTGTTGGCAATGATACGCCTAGGGGCCAACCAACCAACCCACCAATCACAGCCAGGGTTAGGAAAAAACCAGGGTTAGTTTTAAAAAAAACAACCTCCACCTACGCCCAGGATGTCAGGCCTTCCTTTTCCCCCCTGAAGCGGGGTTGGGGTTGGGTTGTCAAGATTGGTGGCCCATCCCGAGTTCTTTGAAGGCCGCGCCACGTCTTTCCGAAGGATTTTCCGCATCTCTCCTCTGCTTGCTCCATTGCAGGTTGAGGGGTTAAACTACCACAAGGCTGGCTTTGACCAGTTTGGGCTGTGGGCAAGCAACCCAATAATGCCAATAATAATCGCACAATTATTTTCCTGTGACCGTGAAGAAATTACCAGACCTTCCTTTCTTTCTAATTATTTGGCCCTTACTGCGCTGGGCCGTGGCTTTCTGGGGCGCTCACTTTCAAAGTACTTGGGAAGACAAATCGGGTGGCAAGCTAAAGCGCCGACTTGCTTTGCCAACCCGGTCAGGAAACGAGATGACCCCAAATTTCGCATTCCTCATTGGAGAGATGGACATTGTGGATTAACAGAGCGCTCTGTTGGCCAGTTGTAGCTGGTTGGATGAGCCATTTGGATCCACTTGGATCCATTTGGCTACATTTGGACTGCGCTGCAAAGTGGCTCAAAAGCTTTCACACGCCGCCAAACCAGAAATCCGCCTCTTCCCCCCCTCCCCTGCCCACATACCAATGTTGATCCCAACGGCTTATCACCCACCGTTCCTTTGGCGAAACCACCAAGGTGTCCTCCTAGCGGCCTTTCCACATGTCCCACGAAAAGAAAGGCTCCCCTGAAAGAACGTGGAATTACCGCCATAGTTTTGACAGAAAATGATGGAGCAATGATTGCCCTTTGTCTTGGGCGGGAGAGTCCCCACAAAGAAGAGGGCAACCTCCTGAAACATACTTTCTAACTCTTTTCCTACCAGGGTCACTTGGCTACTGGGTTTGGCTGTTTCTTGTTTGTAAATGAAAAGATGTCAAGTTCATACCTTGGTTTGCATGCGTTTTTTGTGGATTTCACCCATTCTTCCCCCGGTTGGCCCTTCTTTCATAATCTTCATTACTCTCAATATGTCCAAGGGCGGATCCACAAACAGAGCATCCAAGCATCCAATTGTCTAGATATAAACATGTGTTCCACATACATATATATATATATATATATGCATATATACACATGCACACATGCACACACACACACACGATATATAATGTACACATGCACACACACATTACACACACACATTGCACACACACACACATGTATATATATATATATACATATGTTTCTTACTGCTTGAGGCCATGATCATAGTTCTGCAGCTGCTGATGTGGCTGAAGAAGTACCTGGTGGCCCAGCTGAAGAAGCCGGGGCCCCACCCCGGCTGGATGCAGCCGGCGAAGGTCGCCTCCGTGGCTTGGCGCGGCTCGGGCGGACGCGGCTCGTTGGTTTTGGAGTTGGTGCCCCTTGTCTGAACAGGGCTCCTTAAAGGATGCATTTTGCCCATTTGAAACATGGCTTTTTCCACCAAAACAAAGGGACACCAGCATTCACAAGGGAATGTTCAGGTGTAAAATGTAAGGATCCCTGCTGAAATTTCGAACCTAGGCCCCCAGCAATTGGTGCCCGTTTACCGTTTCTTTTTTGGTTGGGAGGATTGCCCTAAAATAGACTACAGAAGAAAACATCGGATACCCTTATTCTAACCTCCCACCTGGAGGACCTAGTAACGGAAAAACAAAAGGAAAACCAAAGCCATCTGCGGGGCCCTCCTAGAGAAAGGCACACACACACACACAGGGGCCAACGTGAAATTAGAATGAGGTTGTGCACTCAGCTAAAGTGAGTCATGCTCACCAGAGTATCGGGTGCGTAGCTGTTTTGCACTTGTATAAGGAACAAGTCGGTTGGGGCGTTTGTAAAATGACATTGGGCCCCCTCCGTTAGAGAAGAGCTTCTTCTCTTTTTTCTCAGTAGAAGCGTCCAAAAAGGTCCGTTGTTAAGGCCCCCCCATTGGACACGTTCATTGTGACAGTTTCTGATTGTTTTGTCAGCCCGCGCAGCGGAAGCGGGTCTTTCCGGAACAACCGGGATTTGCCCTTGAATGCCGAGGACGGGAAAGTGAGGAAAGTTTGTTCGGCCTCTTGCTCCTTTCAGAGCCGTCAGGATTTCAGCATGGCACCTTCTGAGTTGCCCTTGCTGGGAACCCTGGCGGCGCTATTTTCCCATGGTGGGCGTGTTCTTGGGGTTTCCCGTGTCTACCGCTGATGGGCAATCATTTCAGATGCTGGATTGAAGGCCTCCATAATGTTGTAGAATGCTTCTTCTTTTGTGGTTTTGGTTCTTGGCTTAAGAGGGGGTGCTTCTTGTTTCGCCAAGACAGTGTGGCAAGAGTAAGCCCTTTCGTGCGAAAGCGCACCCGCATTGGGGCAAGCCCTGCAAAATTCGCAAGGAGATGAAGGAGCTGGTGCTGGTGTTTATCAGCATTCTTTTCGCATACAGCACCTGCCTGGAAGACGGGGAAACCAGGCGCCTGCGGTGTGACCGCTTTCTACGTCTTGGTCGCCGAAGTGGATGCTGTCCACAACTCTAATTGGGGTTTCATCCGTTTTTTCAGAGGGCAAATGCAACTTTTTCGCAGAATTCGCCGCTTTTTCACCGCTTCCTTTTTGGTTTCCCTTGGGCACCAGGCTGTTGCTACCACAGGGGCAAAAAATCAGAAAGCACATTTCCGGAGCAGCTTGTTTGTTGACTAGCTCCGGAAGAGAGCTTTGGATCTTAAAGCTTACAAGCTTCCAGCTCGCCCAGTAGGCAGGGCTCCGGGTACATGTTCGTTTTTGGAAGGGTTTTTCCCTTATTGTCGTGCCGGAGCCAAATCATGGCAGGTCCTTGGGTTTGTCCTACTAACGGGTGAGTTGTTTGGCAATTTGCCCACATGTATATGTTTGCGGCGCACGATTAGCATGTAGGCGAAGGTTCTTTTTGGTTTGTGGCTCGCGGTTTGAGGCAAGTTTAGGAGTGCTTTCAGTCATCGTCGCGGACGGTGTTGCCTTTAATGTGTCAATTTTGAGGGGATTCCTCGCATTTGTAGGGGGAAAGAAGACCCCCTAAATGCTGCCAGGTTGCCGGTGGTGGGGGACATTCCGGCCGGCCTGCCCAAGTTCATGCCCGCCTGGGATTATCCCGCCTCCAGGCCGCGTCTTGTTTCTATATCCGAAAGTGTTAGAATCCACTAGGGTTACCCAAATTTGGGCTGCCCATAGGGGGAGTATGACATTTGAAAAGGGCGACTCGGCCAACCAAATGTTGGTGGATGTTGGTGGACGGTGATCTCCTCATGGAAGAGACGTCCACAAAACGGGCCCACAGCTAAAGATCACAATGTGTGTACCAACATGGGAGTATGTGTGTAGAGTGATTTCCCGCCGGGCTTTAGGCTTGGGATTTAGGCTTGGGATGCCCTTTTGTGGATTTTTGCCTTGGCCGCCCGTTGTGGGAGTGGGGGGGGGGGTTCCTGTTGCTTGTCCGTGATTGTCCGTGTTGAATATAGCCCTCGCCTCCGGAGCTGCTCAATGCAAGCGCCTGAAGAACAGAAGGGGGTTCTGGGTACTTTGAAACCATACTTCGTGATGATTCTTTCGGCCCTTATATCAGGGTGTGCTTTTCCCTTTGTGGAGCTTCAAAAAGTGGCGATCGTTTCAAAGGAAGCCGCCAGTAAAATTGATCAACTTTTGGAGGGGACATCCAGTGAGTGCCAATCTCCCCCGGAGGGCTGTTCCAGGCGGATGCCCGGGGTTAGGGTATGTCGTTCTCAGGTCCTCGTTTTTTTTCATGTTTTTTCCTTTCTTTCTTTTTTTTTTGGGGGGGGGAGGGGGGCAGGGGCGGCAGGCGGCCAAAGAAAAGGCGATTAGAGTTGGAGACCGACGCACATTTCTGTTTGACTTCTCTAGGATGGCCAGAAATCATTGAGCATCAAACCGGTGATTGGCCCCCGCGGCAACTGCTTCGTGGCTGGCCCCGCCGCAGGAGCATGCTGGACACGCATTTCCGCCTCAAGGCCGGGGGTTGGCACTAGCAAACCGGAGATTGCCCTAGCGGTCCCTATAGGCATTGGCAGGCTCGGCTTACCTTTAATTGTTTTCGCTTCTTTGGGTTTCCACATTTTTTTTGCTTTCCAAGCATCCAATAAGTTGAAATTTCTTTTTGGGGTTCTATTTCTGGTCAAGTATGGTTAACTTGGATGAGTCCAACCGATTCATTTTAGTGGGATCTGAAGTTAGCCATACTTCTCTGTCAGTTTTTTCGCCTTTTGGCTAAGAGCTTCCTTGTGGGGTGACTGCAGTACCTGTCTCCCAAAACGGGAGCAAAGAGGTTGGACCGCCCAACACGAACACAGCTGGGCCCAAAGCCGGGGCAAACTTCTCGCCGAGCCACCCAGCCCAGCCTAGCCCAGCCCCAGCCAGCCAGCCAGCCAGCCCAGCCACCCAGCTAGACAAATTTGGTATCTTTCCAGAAAGGGAAAGGACCTCCTGAACCAGCGTTCGGGAATCCACGGCATCCCTTTTTTCCAAACCCAGGTTTTTCGTGCCATATTTTCTACCTTTTCAGTTGGAGATGTGGTTTTCCCGTCGTCTTCTGAACCTTGTCTGAGTCATATCGCCCGGGATGTGAAAAAGGGATGTGGAAAAGCTCAAATATGTAAGGCACAACGTCCAGCCACAAAATCGGGGTAAATTGCTGGGTTTGCAAAGTGGTCTCCGATTGAAATTGGGTGTGTTTTGTTCGAGGCTCGGTCCCCTCTTGGTTGTGAACGGAAAACCAACAACAGAAACGCCACGAGGGGACCCCTGTTTGGGACAGATCAATGCTGTGTAGGTGGTGGTAGTTTCCCTTGTTGTCAAGGTGTCCCACTGTGGCTTTCAGATTGACCGGGGATCCTCCCCAATTTTCAACAACTTAATCTGAACCTCAGATTGACGCGTCCTATGAATAGAGGGTGCCACCACACCAGTGAAGGATTCCCACCAAACTCGGGACACTTTATGCATCAATGCAGGGGACTAAAATCCGGGTTTCCCATTTGTTTTGAGCCATAGGGCGTTCTTCAGCCTAGGTTTCCCCCATATATGCATGTATGTATGTATGTATGTATGTATGTATGTATGTAGGTAATGTAATGTAATGTAAAGCAAAGTAATGTAATGTAATGTAATGTAATGTAATGTAATGTAATGTATGTATGTATGTATGTATGTATGTATGTATGTATGTATGTATGTATGTATGTATGTATGTATGTATGTATGTATGTATGTATGTATGTATGTATGTATGTATGTATGTATGTATGTATGTATGTATGTATGTATGTATGTATGTATGTATGTATGTATGTATGTATGTATGTATGTATGTATGTATGTATGTATGTATGTATGTATGTATGTATGTATGTATGTATGTATGTATGTATGTATGTATGTATGTATGTATGTATGTATGTATGTATGTATGTATGTATGTATGTATGTATGTATGTATGTATGTAATATGTATGTATGTATGTATGTATGTATGTATGTATGTATGTAATGTATGTATGTATGTATGTATGTATGTATGTATGTATGTATGTATGTATGTATGTATGTATGTATGTATGTATGTATGTATGTATGTATGTATGTATGTATGTATGTATGTATGTATGTATGTATGTATGTATGTATGTATGTATGTATGTATGTATGTATGTATGTATGTATGTATGTATGTATGTATGTATGTATGTATGTATGTATGTATGTATGTATGTATGTATGTAATGTATGTATGTATGTATGTATGTATGTATGTATGTATGTATGTATGTATGTATGTATGTATGTATGTATGTATGTATGTATGTATGTATGTATGTATGTATGTATGTATGTATGTATGTATGTATGTATGTATGTATGTATGTATGTATGTATGTATGTAATGTATGTATATGTATGTATGTATGTATGTATGTATGTATGTATGTATGTATGTATGTATGTATGTATGTATGTATGTATGTATGTATGTATGTATGTATGTATGTATGTAATGTATGTATGTATGTATGTATGTATGTATGTATGTATGTATGTATGTATGTATGTATGTATGTATGTATGTATGTATGTATGTATGTATGTATGTATGTATGTATGTATGTATGTATGTATGTATGTATGTAATGTATGTATGTATGTATGTATGTATGTATGTATGTATGTATGTATGTATGTATGTATGTATGTATGTATGTATGTATGTATGTATGTATGTATGTATGTATGTATGTATGTATGTATGTATGTATGTATGTATGTATGTATGTATGTATGTATGTATGTATGTATGTATGTATGTATGTATGTATGTATGTATGTAATGTATGTATGTATGTATGTATGTATGTATGTATGTATGTATGTATGTATGTATGTATGTATGTATGTATGTATGTATGTATGTATGTATGTAATGTATGTATGTATGTAATGTATGTATGTATGTAATGTAATGTAATGTAATGTAATGTAATGTATGTATGTATGTATGTATGTATGTATGTATGTATGTATGTATGTATGTATGTATGTATGTATGTATGTATGTATGTATGTATGTATGTATGTATGTATGTATGTATGTATATGTATGTATGTATGTATGTATGTATGTATGTATGTATGTATGTATGTAATGTATGTATGTATGTATGTATGTATGTATGTATGTATGTATGTATGTATGTATGTATGTATGTATGTATGTATGTATGTATGTATGTATGTATGTATGTATGTATGTATGTATGTATGTATGTATGTATGTATGTATGTATGTATGTATGTATGTATGTATGTATGTATGTATGTATGTATGTAATGTATGTATGTAATGTAATGTAATGTAATGTAATGTAATGTAATGTAATGTAATGTATGTATGTAATGTATGTAATGTAATGTAATGTAATGTAATGTAATGTATGTAATGTAATGTAATGTAATGTAATGTATGTATGTATGTATGTATGTATGTATGTATGTATGTATGTATGTATGTATGTATGTATGTATGTATGTATGTATGTATGTATGTATGTATGTATGTATGTATGTATGTATGTATGTATGTATGTATGTATGTATGTATGTATGTATGTATGTATGTATGTATGTATGTATGTATGTATGTATGTATGTATGTATGTATGTATGTATGTATGTATGTATGTATGTATGTATGTATGTATGTATGTATGTATGTATGTATGTATGTATGTATGTATGTATGTATGTATGTATGTATGTATGTATGTATGTATGTGTATGTATGTATGTATGTATGTATGTATGTATGTATGTATGTATGTATGTATGTATGTATGTATGTATGTATGTATGTATGTATGTATGTATGTATGTATGTATGTATGTATGTATGTATGTATGTAATGTATGTATGTATGTATGTATGTATGTATGTATGTATATGTGTATGTATGTATGTATGTATGTATGTATGTATGTATGTATGTATGTATGTATGTATGTATGTATGTATGTATGTATGTATGTATGTATGTATGTATGTATGTATGTATGTAATGTAATGTATGTATGTATGTAATGTATGTATGTATGTATGTATGTAATGTATGTATGTATGTAATGTATAATGTATGTATGTATGTATGTATGTATGTATGTATGTATGTATGTATGTATGTATGTATGTATGTATGTATGTATGTAATGTATGTATGTATGTATGTATGTATGTATGTATGTATGTATGTATGTATGTATGTATGTATGTATGTATGTATGTATGTATGTATGTATGTATGTATGTATGTATGTATGTATGTATGTATGTATGTATGTATGTATGTATGTATGTATGTATGTATGTATGTATGTATGTATGTATGTATGTATGTATGTATGTATGTATGTATGTATGTATGTATGTATGTATGTATGTATGTATGTAATGTATGTATGTATGTATGTATGTATGTATGTATGTATGTATGTATGTATGTATGTATGTATGTATGTATGTATGTATGTATGTATGTATGTAATGTATGTATGTAATGTATGTATGTATGTATGTATGTATGTATGTATGTATGTATGTATGTATGTATGTATGTATGTATGTATGTATGTATGTATGTATGTATGTATGTATGTATGTATGTATGTATGTATGTATGTATGTATGTATGTATGTATGTATGTATGTATGTATGTATGTATGTATGTATGTATGTATGTATGTATGTATGTATGTATGTATGTATGTATGTATGTATGTATGTATGTATGTATGTATGTATGTATGTATGTATGTATGTATGTATGTATGTATGTATGTATGTATGTATGTATGTATGTATGTATGTATGTATGTATGTATGTATGTATGTATGTATGTATGTATGTATGTATGTATGTATGTATGTATGTATGTATGTATGTATGTATGTATGTATGTATGTATGTATGTATGTATGTATGTATGTATGTATGTATGTATGTATGTATGTATGTATGTATGTATGTATGTATGTATGTATGTATGTATGTATGTATGTATGTATGTATGTATGTATGTATGTATGTATGTATGTATGTATGTATGTATGTATGTATGTATGTATGTATGTATGTATGTATGTATGTATGTATGTATGTATGTATGTATGTATGTATGTATGTATGTATGTATGTATGTATGTATGTATGTATGTATGTATGTATGTATGTATGTATGTATGTATGTATGTATGTATGTATGTATGTATGTATGTATGTATGTATGTATGTATGTATGTATGTATGTATGTATGTATGTATGTATGTATGTATGTATGTATGTATGTATGTATGTAATGTATGTATGTATGTATGTATGTATGTATGTATGTATGTATGTATGTATGTATGTATGTATGTATGTATGTATGTATGTATGTATGTATGTATGTATGTATGTATGTATGTATGTATGTATGTATGTATGTATGTATGTATGTATGTATGTATGTATGTATGTATGTATGTATGTATGTATGTATGTATGTATGTATGTATGTATGTATGTATGTATGTATGTATGTATGTATGTATGTATGTATGTATGTATGTATGTATGTATGTATGTATGTATGTATGTATGTATGTATGTATGTATGTATGTATGTATGTATGTATGTAATGTATGTATGTATGTATGTATGTATGTATGTATGTATGTATGTATGTATGTATGTATGTATGTATGTATGTATGTATGTATGTATGTATGTATGTATGTATGTATGTATGTATGTATGTATGTATGTATGTATGTATGTATGTATGTATGTATGTATGTATGTATGTATGTATGTATGTATGTATGTATGTATGTATGTATGTATGTATGTATGTATGTATGTATGTATGTATGTATGTATGTATGTATGTATGTATGTATGTATGTATGTATCTCTCTCTCTCTCTCTCTCTCTCTTCGTTTCCCTGCATCCATCCTCCGCCCCTCTCGCTGGCAGGAGTTCTGCGTGGGTGGCTTCCTGGTTGCCTTGACCTCCTTCCTCACCACCTACGCCACCTCCAAGAAGCAGGCCGGAGTGTTCTCCCTCAACGGCTGGCCTCAGGCCTCAAAAAGGGCCTCCGCCCCAAATTTTTGGTTTTTGGGATGTGGGTACCACCTGGCCTTGTCTTGGAGGGTGAGGTCCCTTTGACCCGATTTTCGGTTGCCCTGTAGACCTCCCTTTTCCGGGATTGTTGCTCTTGGAGGGTTCGCTTGTTAAACCGCTTTTTGTGCTGAACACCGGGTATATAGCTTCTAGCTGCATGAGCCCCCAGAAACCCGAACCACCCCCAACCTAAAGAGGTGTCCCCCCCCAAAACCCGAACCCCCCCCAACCTAAAGAGTCAGTGGAGGTGTCGCCCCCCAAACCCGAAACCCCCCAACCTTAAGAGTCAATGGTGCTGTCGCAGAAACCCGAAACCCCCCAACCCTTTGTTTCTGTGGGTGTCCCCAGGCCTTGCTTCATGTTCTGAGTGAGGTTTCCCTTCAAAAGCAGCAAGCTTCCCTTTTTTGAGGTCTTTTCTCTGTCCACGAGCGCACTTTACAACCTCAAAAAAAGGCGGTGAGTTCAATGCAGGCGCTGCAGCATGGGTACCACATCGACGCTAGCCACCTGGCGCAGAATGCTAAGATTGACGCTGCGAAAGGTCAACGGTACACGCAGCTTTTTACTCGCCTAATCCCTCCAATTGGTGGTTTGGTTTGGGCCCGCCCCCTTGTTGAAAGCAATTGGGAAGGCAATCGTTGCAACCCACTAAACCAATGAGGGAAATCTGAGAAGGGCTGGTCCCCCCTTGCCTGGAAGTTGGTATCGTGGAAGTCGACCAGAGGTTTCCACCCTTATTTAACTTTAATATAGTTCGCCTGGGATTGAGAATGAGACTTGCAGATTGTGTAACCCAACCTGCACTTGGGATACATGTGAATGTGCCAAGACTAGTCGCCCATACGGGACTAATTGGAAAGAAGCTCAATCGGAAGCTGACGTTCGCACAGCTTTCCTTCCTGCCTTTCGGAACAACATTGGCGCCCTTGCGGCAAGACTTCACGTGAGCATGTTGAGGCAAATATGCTCGGCCCCCGATGTCTTGGACTTCAGATTTCTTCCCTTTGAAGGGGCCACAAGGCCAAGTCTCACTTTTATTTAGCCGCAAGGCCCGTGCTCAAGTTGTGCAATGCGCCATTTTGCGGTGCGGTGTGCGAGTCAGGTGCTGTCTCTTTCTCTCTCTCTCTCTCTCTCTCTCTCTCTCTCTCTCTCTCTCTCTCTCCCTCTATATCTCTCTCTCTCTCTCTCTCTCTCTCTTTCTCTCTCTTTCTCCCTGGCTGCTCTTGGAAGTACCTTCCACCTTTGTCATCCGCTTGGCAAACGCCTTTGCCCGCACTAAGGAACAAAACGACTTTTTAAGGGGCCAAATGAACCTGAGCCAATGCGAAGCTGAACTCGACAGCTTCTTACCGCACCACAACTTTGAAGGGAAGCAACAAAAAGAACCACGGTCATGTTGCTGGGAGAAGCTGGGGGAAAGGCCCCTGCAAAACGAGTTTTGGTGCTTCGATTTGAGTGACAACTTGTTTAAAGAGCCAACCCACCTTACCCCCGGTCCCCTTCTTGGGCTTGACAGCGCTTGTGCCGAGGCCTCATGATTCTCTACTTTGGGCGTCTTAAACTGGGGTACCCCCCAAAAAATACGGAAATCCAACCAAGGTAAACCTGGTAGCAGTAAAAAAAAAAGCAAACCCAAAGCAAAAAACAAACACATCGACGCAGCCACCCTTTGGTCTTTGGTGGGTCCCAGGTCAGGAGATGTTCGCGCTGGGCATGGCCGGAGTCTGCGGTTCCTTCTACGGGTCCTTCACCCCGAGCGGGTCCCTGAGCCGCACCTCGCTGGCCTCGGAGGTGGGGGTGAAGACCCAGCCGGGGCTCCCAGCCTCATGGGGAAAGGGGGGGGGGGGATGGCCAAAAGGGGTCGAATCGACAGTTTTTTTTTTTTTTTTTTTTTTTTTTTTTTTTTTTTTTTTTTTTTTTAAATTAAAGAACCGTTTTTCATGTTTTTGTTTTTTGTTCTTTGTTATTTTTTCTTTTTTCTTTTTTCTTTTTTCTTTTTTTTGGGACTCCCCCCAGAACCCTTGTAACATTTTCTGGCTTTGGGGTTTTTCAGGGGCTGCAATGAGGGTGAGACAATTGTTCAGCCGTGTATGTTTGACAGCAGGGGCTCGTCTTCCCCCAAAAGTTTTCTAGGACTGCCATGTTTTTTGGGCTCCCCCGCCGCACTCGCCGCCCCCTCACTCACTCAATCCCTTTCAATGTGCGATGTTGAGCTTGATTTGGGCAGCGGGGAGCGGGGAACATGATAGTCAACCTTAATACAAGCTTTGCAGATGCCCCCAGAACGGTTTTCCCCTTTGAAGGGGGTTCTAAGAAGGGTTGTTGATGGTAACAATGGAGCCCCTGCCAGGATGAGCGGGCTCATGAAGCTGGTGGTGGTGGGCGGCAGCCTACAGTTCCTCACCCCGGTCTTGTACTACCTCCCCAAGGCGCAGTAATAGTTTTTCTCCGCGGTTTGTGGGCTCCCTTCAACGCCCTCAACCCTTTTCTCGTTTTTTTTCCTTTAGGCCCCTTCAACCCCTCAACCCCCTCAACCCCCTCACAAAAAACCAGCGGAATTTTGGCGGTTTCTCAAAAGACTGATGGGAACTGGAGCATTAAGCATGGGAACAACTAGTAGTTAGTAGTTGGGAGACCTTTGCTTGTACTTACTCGCCCCAACGGCCTGGAAATAAAAGGTTGACGTGGGACCCTGGCCATAAACTGGACCGAGGTCGGCTTTGGGGCAGTGGGTCTGTTGGCGTCAGGAGGTGCCAATAAAGGATCAAAGGCACCCCAGTCATCAACATGTCATTGACCATCAACTGACGAGAATCCAGCATCACCCCAGCGGCCAACATGACGCCAGTTTGGAGGGAGGCAGGCGCATCCTGAACCAGTGGGACAGGCCCGGCCTCCTGGCGCCATGCACGGAAGAAACTCGGGGCTGACCCCATGGGCGTACCTCCCTTCAAGCTTCCGAACAACTGGATTGGCCCAAAAGAGTCCCCGAATGGGGTGAAGCCACTGAGAAATCAAGGGGTTGATTCCCCCTTCTTTTCAACCATCGTTCTCTTCAAAAACCAGCTGTTTCGGCTGGTTTAGAAAGAGGATGCCTGGAAAGAATGGGGAAGGTACCCCTAGAAGAAAGGATTAAAACCCATACTACTCATCAGTAGGCGTCTCTTCTGCTATCCGCTCAATGCCGCCTGGTACCTCAACAATGTGGTGAATGGGCACCTTGGAAGTGTCAGCGGGCGAACCAAACCGATCCTAAGGATACAGTCCAGAAACTCAAGGACTGAGAGCACCAGCCACTCAGCGCTTCTCGCAGGCCACTCTGGCGGCCATCATCCTGCGGTCCACCTGGCAGCTGGTTGACCTTCACACCCCCACCACCCTCTGGAGCTCGTGGAAGTGCCCTAGCTCATGGCGTTTTCCGGGGCAGCCAACTGCTTGGGAGGTGAGTTGGCCCTGAAACTTTTTTTTTGTTTGGGCTCGGTATCTTTTTTGTGTTTTTTTGTGGATTGAAAGGGACACCGACGGGAAAACGGACGCCATTTTGATTGTGGGCCGCCTAGGAGAACACACGCACACAGTTGGTTAGAGGCCGGTGGTTGGCTTAGGGGTACGTTGTGTAGGACCAGCCAGGCTGGTTTAAGTGTGGTTTCCTTTGGGTTTAGGGTGAGTTGCGTGTGGCCCAGGGTTGGTTTCTTTTGAAACGCAGAGACGACAAAGAGAGAAGTAACCTGTGTTCAAAGCTTTTCCATCCTTTGTTTGGGTTATGGCACGCTTTTGCGGGTTGGATGGACAAAGTAAAGGGAAACACCTGTTTTGGGTCCTCTGGGTTTTCTCGGACGCATGCCCACTGCCGTTAAGGCAAACCATCCTTTTGGTCTTTCGAGACATTTTCCTAGGGAATCAGGATTGGCTCCTCCAGACTTTCTCCTACAGGGAAGCCGCCATTCTTGGACCCCCCAACTTTCACACACGCGCTTCTTCAAGGCACTCTTTGCTTTCCCAGTTCGTCTCTGGCAGGTGGCTTCTTGGCTTTTCAAAGGTTTTTTTCTGACTTGTGCCCATGCTGGCAGCAAGTTTTCATTAGGTACCAGCTCGGCTAAAAAACTCGTACTCTCCGCTGACCGCCTGAGCGGCGCCTGGCGTCGCCTTGCCTGAGCCTAGCTCAGGCCTTACCACCGGGGCGGCATGAAGCGGGACTTCATCGTTTGGTGGATTGCCTTCCTTCTGACCATCTTCAAAGGCGGGAGGGGCAGGGGTTGCCGGGGGCAGTTGCCTTCTTTGTTGGGAAAGCCAAGCAGGCGTCGAAAAAAGCAAGGCCTCGATGTTCGACGGGGCACAGCCATCATGGCCCACGGCCCACGGTCGCCCTGCATGGCGAAATGAGAATTCTGGCAAACCCTGCATCATGGTCCCTTCAAATCCCCCCTTAGATATGGAATTGGGGGAGGGGGTGAAAATATGGTCTCCATTTTTGGTTCCATTTCCCTTTTACGGGGTCAACTAGATAAATGATAAATGGAATTGGTGACCCCCCACCCTCCGAGGATGCCTCGAGGCGTTCCCCTATCCCCTCGGCCATGGCCCAGTCACAGCCAGGCTCGGTTCACTCTCTCTTTATCTTGTTTGGGTTGGTTTACCTTGAAATCCAGCAAGTCCAAAAGAGAACTGCTGAGTTCGGTATCCGTGGTTTCCAGCCGTGTCTCTTTCTTCGGCATGAGACACTCGGAGCCGACCCAGGTGTTCTTTGGGGTATCGGCGTTGCAGTGGGTGTCTCCTTGATCATGATCGTGCACGATGCGGCGGTTCCGAGGCGCTGAGACGCGGAAAGAAGTCGGAAGTCGGACACCGGGTCCAGCAGGGAACCAACATGCGTGTGTGTGTGTGTGTGTGTGTGTGTGTGTGTGTGTGTGTGTGTGTGTGAGTGAGTGAGTGAGTGAGTGAGTGAGTGAGTGTGTGTGTGTGTGTGAGGGGACCTTTCGCAGGTTGGTTCAAAGGAAACGCAGAAAGAAGCCAGCAGGACAGGAAGGGGGTTCCTTTACCTTGACCACATACTCAAATGGATCAAGCAACGCGGCTGGATATCTGGAAAGTCGTCACTCGGAGCTTCGGAACCTCTTCTTCTCTTCTTCGCCCAGTGGGTCCTCGATTTTTGGGATGCGCAATTTTGGCACGGTGTTTTAGGGTGAATAGGGGCAATCAAGTCACTCTTGGGGTCGATCCAAGGGGAAAACCATTCTCCTAACGTTTTCTGTTGGGAGGAGGGTCCCGCAGGTTAAGACACATTTGTTGTGCTTGGGAAGTCTCGGGTCCGATTGGCTTGGGTTTCACGCAGGACAACGAGCGGCTGCTTTGTTTCCACGGTGCTTGTCTTGTGTTGCGCTTTTCTGAGGCGCAGATGGGAAGACTTGCGGGTGCTCAGCAGGGAAGGAGGGAATGACCCCTATAAAGATTCCTCGTGATTTTCTTTGAGGGGACGCCTGGGTTCATTCCCTCATTCCCTACTTACCGCGCCAGCAGGGGAGAGAGAGAGGTCGCTTCAGAGGATGCGCTCGCGCCAGGGTGGTGAAGCTGGGCCGCCTGGAGAGCTTGGGCAACATCTGGCGGGACCAGGAGATTTGGCCCGAGGGACGCACCTTCCAAGGCGAACCGACGGATGTGTTTTGTTTGTGTGGATGCATGCATAAAAGTACACATACACTTGTATATATATATATAGATATATGTTTGCAGGGGCACGGTCCGCAGCGGAGCCCTTCTCCTAGCCTTCTGGTGCATCGCCAAGATCTCAGGAAGGGCAACCCACACATGGATCTCTCATGTCTTCCCGCCTTCCCCGGCCCGACGAGAAGAAACAAAAAACTCCGGGCGCCCGCGCTAAGAAGTCCCCCGGAGGCATCATGGTCATCGAGTTCCGGGGGCCCTTGTCCTTCGCCAGCGCAGACCACTTCATGGAAGAGGCGTGGGCCGGTCCGATTTTTCGGGCCGGTCGATTCGGGGCGAGGAGCTCGGCTGGATTCGAGTGAGGTCTTGGACATCCGATCTGTTGTTGGCTCCCTGTTCCTGATGGTTGGAAGGGAGCCGATACGGAGATGGGGTATCTCAGTAGGCAGTTAAGTAAGGAGCTACCAGGAGTTCTGCAAGATGGTAGTTCAAGCCGAGGTGTTGGTGGCGCTCCAAACCTTCTTGTTTGGTGGAAGTTCCTGCTTTTTCCTGCTTCTTTTGCATACCTTGGGCATGAACCTTGAAAGGCTTGACGTTCATACCATGTCCTTTTCGCAAGAAGGGTAGATACGATAGATCCGCGATATGAACCAAAGAGCCAGGGAGTATTTTCACGAGGGCTGTGTGCTACCGCTAGATGATTTGGTTTGACCCTGGGTAGCATGCCTACCATGTGAGCCCTTCGGATCCAGGGCACCTTTTGAAATTCTTGGCACTCGGGCATGGATTAGGGACCCTTGTGGTGGACGGTGGTTCATGTCCACCACTGTTGAATTGATCCCCTAATCAAAATCGTAGCCAGACCCAAGGTTATTCAGCGAAACCACGTTTTGTCTCCTGTTTTTTTCTCGTAAGTTTGGTGCGTCCCTTGAGCCTTGATCCCTTCACAACTGGTCAGCCCCAAAATGGGCTTCAATTCGCTTGCTATGGTCACCTGGGCTGGCAGAAAGCAGCGGTCAATCAGCGCGGTTTCGTTTGTAGGTGGAGAACAAGCGGCTCTTGGAAGAGGAGGCGGGCAACCACATTGGGGTGATTGTGCTACCTTTCGGCAGCGCGCCCTGGCTCAATAGAAGCCAGCCAGGGCAGATTCTGAAGGAAGTGGCTCACGCATGGTTTGGTCGCCCATCCGCGGACAAAGCAAGCAGAGGCATGAAAGTGGTCAGAGCAATTCATCTCGAACCTGTCAAACTACCTTCAAGGATTTCGTCATTGAAAGATTCAGTTTCTTTGCTCAATGCATGAGGCAGCTCCCGGTGGGCTCAACCAGTTGATTTCGCGTTTGAGTTTTGAGGGGGGAGGGGCCGTTGAAATGAAGCGAAGGAGGCGTGCCGCGCTTTTCCTTCTCCATGGCCTTTGAAAGTGTCGGCTGATCAATCCAGGGGTTTCGCATTTCATTCGGGTTCGGCTGGGAACCACAGGGCAAAAGGCCATTTGCCTTTGCACACCTTGCACACGGCATGCGTCGCGCCCGACCGGCCGGCTGCCAGAAACGAGGTGCATGACTTGGACAAGACGGCCATCGAAATGCTTCGTGAACTTTTGACAGA